TAAATAATTCTTTGGATTGAGGTGGAGATATATATTCCTTTTTTTAAAGCTCAAAAAATTATTCTCATTGCAAGATAGTATTTATGAGGAAGACACTGAACATCCCTTCTGGGAAGAATGGTGTTGCTGATAGGAAATTACCCATAAAAGTTACTATAAATCATGTAGTTTTATCTGGATTTATATGTATTATACGTATTCATACAAAAATAGATCGGTATCTCTAATTATCTAGGAGAAGAATGTGCAGGACAAACCTCTTGCATGGCCTCCCATCATCATGAAGGACTCGAGCAAAAGGAATCAGATCTTAGACAAGTGTTGTACAGACTCTGGACATGGTCCCATTTCTCTTCTTTTACAGCAAAAACAGCAATGTAAACTTCCTTTACATGACTGACTGTTCTGCCAAAGGGACAGAGTATATATACCTAAGTGACACAGTATGTATTTGCTGTGGCAAAACTAGTAAAAGAGGCAAGATATTGAAAAATGCCATCTGAAGATACCAAAATATACCTATATGGAGAATATCTTCATTTCAGTCTTCCAGGATAGCTAAAACTAAAATAAAGATGATAACACAAATATTTCTGTATGCGTATATATGTATATAATTATTTTGCAAAACCACCCTTTCAGTTTTCTATGATATATAGGTCAACACAGTTTTGATTAAAGGGAGTATAAATATAATAATTTTTGTCTTCAAGGACTAAGGATTGAAAAACAAAAATTAAGTCCCTTATTTTGCTTTATCTGAAAGGCTGATGGAGTGGTGGAGCTGCCCCAATTAATTTGTCTTTGTATATAGCATATGACATAAAAATCATCTGTTTTCATTATGATACATCTGTATTTTCCACTTGTTTTTACAAAATGTTATACTTTACCATTTGAGGGTATGACACCGCTAGAGCTCATGACACATGATCTGCATTGCAACTCATAATTTAATACTTATTTAATTGCAGTCTAACAGAACTGCAAATTTAACTAGAGAGCAGTAAGAAATATTTCCATCAGATTCTCTGAAATGCTTCACAATGAAAGCTGATGTCATCTGCAGCTTTTAAGACAGTTAGATATTGGGTTTGTTACTTTAATAAGTTTCCAGAATGAAATCTTCTCTAAGGTGTCATAGTTTGCTCTTTATTTAACTTGTAGCAATTCAATAATGAACAAGTTTCCAATGTCCTTTTATAAAAGATGAAACATTAGTGTCTTACATAGGAGAATACTGACCAGACAGTAAAACAGAGCACCATATCAGATTGATCTAAAAAATATTACATTTGTATAGAATCTTAGTGAATTACCCATATCATAGTAGTTATCTTTAATATTCTAAAACTGGTTGTCCTGAAAATTGCCATGTCCTGGATTTGTTTATTCTCCAGTAAGGGCTCATTTCTTCTTTTAATTTGAAGTGAAAAATATTTTACTTCCCAAGAATTTCCTATGTTATACAATCAGCAATCCCAAAAAGTGTTAGTAGGAACAATACATGTAGGTAAGTTCAGAACAGATGCATCACAGTCCAGACCACAGTGCAATATTTTCAGAATTTGTGGAAAGTCTCAGTCTTATTTCAGTGCCTGGTAATGTTATGATGATTATTTAGGTGAAAAACACCCAGAAGACAACTCAGTCATTGGACACAGCCACTACAGCTTCGTGAGAGGGAAGTCCAGGTTAACAAACCTGATTTCCCTTTATGACAAGGTGGCCCATCTAGTTCATCAAGGGAAGGTGGTCGATGTGATCTTGGATTTCAGCTAAGGTTTTGATAGTGTCTCTCACAGGATTCTTCTGGAAAATTATCCAACACACAGCTGGATAAACACATCATGTGAAGTGATGTGATGTGATGTGATGTGATGTGATGTGATGTGATGTGATGGGATAGCAACTGGCTCACAAAGAGCTATAGTGAAAGGGGTGACATTGGACTCGGGTCCTGTCATTAGTGGGGTTCCACAGGGCTCCATTCTCTACCTTGTGTTCTTCAACATCTTCAGAAATTACTCAAAATGCAGGACTAGAAGGGATACTAAGCGAGTTTGCAGATGATACAGAACTGGGAGGATCCATCAACTCCCAGAAAGGCCCAGCAGAGAGACCTCAAAATGTTAGAGAGGTGGGCAGTGAGTGACCATATGGAGTTGAACAAGGGCAAGTGCCGGATTCTGCACCTGGGATGGGGCAGCCCTGGATGTGCGGACAGACTGGGGAATGAGAAGCTGGAAAGCAGAGCTGTGGGAAGGGACCTGGGATTTTCAGTTGATAGCAAGTTGATCACGAGTCAGCAGCGCCCTGGCAGCCAGGAGGGCCAACCCTGCCCTGGGGCACAGCATCACCAGCCAGGCAAGGGAGTGGGTCTCACTCTGTTCTGCACTGGGGTGGCCTCATCTCGAGTGCTGGGGACAGTTTTGGCTGCCACAAAAAGGTATTTTATGGCTTCTTTTTTCTTTTTTTTTTTATCCTTCCAGAATCTGGTAACTATTTTTTTTGGTGAATATGATGGATAAAATATGTGTTCAGTGAAGGAGAAGCTGGATGCCCTACAATGAGTGCTCAAAACATTAGCTTTTATAACTGAATTCTAGGATTTCCTGGAATAAATGTATTAATTTTTTCTTCAAAGCCAGGTCAAATTCAACAGTAAGAATGGTGCATGCCTCTCATTCTTAGCACTTACCAGTATTCACAGCCAAGGAAAGCTTTCTCTGAGGGCATTTTTGAGTGTGATCTCCTAAAAGTGGTAACAACCAGATGAGAGATCTTGCTGCTAAGCCATTGTGCCAAAGATGAGATCCATTACAAGTGTTATTTTGAAAAGGAAAGCAGTTTTCTTTAGCTTGTAATTAAAAAAAAAATTTAGATTGCTTAGGCCTATGTTGAGAACATTTAATTTGTACTAGCCATTCACATTGTCTGTGGTTTTGATTACAAGAGTATTTGAGATCTTGGGATTGAGTGTATTTTCTAATTTAGAAAATTGCTTCAGACATATTGCATTTCTGAATAAAAGTAAAGGTTCCTGTTTAACCTAGTAATGTTTGTTTTGGCCCTAATAGTTAGGGATCAAGGAAAGGTAATGAATTACATGTTAATGATCAAGTGGATACAAAGAAGAGCTATGAAAATGATTGGAGGGCTGGAGCACTTCTGCTACGAGTAAATGCTCAGAGTTGGGGTTGTTCAGTTGCAGAACAGAAGGCTCTGTGGAGACCTTACAGCACCTGAAGAGACCCTACAAGAGAGCTGGAAAAGGACTTTTTACCAGGGCATGTAGTGGCAGAACAAGGGGGAATGTCTTGAAGCTGAAAGTAGGTTTCGAATAGATATTGGGAAGAAATTCTTTATTGCAGTAACAACAAGGCACTGGAACAGGTTGTCCAGAGGAGTTGTGAATGCCTCATCCCTGGAGGTGTTCAGTACTGGTCTGGATGTGGCTCTGTGCCACCTGATCCAGTGGAAAATTTCTGTCCATGGCAGGGGAACTGGAACTAGATGATCTTTAAGGTCCTTTTAAACCCAAACCATTCTGTGATTCTATAGAAGACTGACAGCTTATTTAAAATAAAATGGGGATTGACTAATCACTAATTACCAGCTAATTATTTTTGAAATGTGGAATATCAATATTAAAAAGTAAGTCCTTCATAAGTATTTATAATAATTTAAAATTAGTATGTATTTCCCTTTTTTTTAAAGAGAGCTTTAATTTTCCTTTTCAAGTTGAACACGTAGGACATTTTAAATTTATTTTATTGAAAATATGTATGTAAAAAAACAGTGATTTAGGTATATATTAAGGAACAAAGAAGCAAAGAGTTTCTTTGAGAAAAAGATCTTTTTCTGAATTAGATAGAAGCATATATCAGAAGATTTATTTGACAATATACCTTACCTCTGTATTGGGTGATTTGCCAAAGCTAGACTCCAGATTTATGAACCAGGAAAATCAATTGCATTGATGTTTTGTGTAGATTTTAAAAATAATTTATCCTTCTGAAATAGCCATGTTAGGTTTGTATGTACTCATCCAGTAGCTAGTTCAGTCTTTGTCAGTGCAAGCATTCTTGAAATTTAATTCTTGCCTTCCAGGTTTAACTAAACCTCCTAAATGCAATCAGATGATAAGCACAGTTTTCATGAGTTTGACAATAGAATGCTCATCTCTGTCACACTTGCAACTCATGTATTTCTTAGTGTGTCTACTGAGACAATCTAGGGAATTTCTTAGAGGAAAAAACCCCATAGATTCTCTTAATCTAAATCTATGCACATAGTGTAAATCATATGCTATACAGCTTCCCTGTGTGATGCACTGGAAGCCCAGAGCTAACACTGAAGTCATATGGACTGGAGAAACCTTTCTGCTTATTGTCTAAAGCCAGGCAAAATATATTTATAGGAAATAACCAGAGGCAGTGGGAAGATGTCTACAATACTAATACAATCAGAATTAGAAAACTTAAAAAAACCCCCAAACACCCAAACCCCTCCTAATTAAGAAACATATTAATTTCTCATTGTATTAAGATTCTTAATTTTGTGTCTCTTCTGTTGACTACAGATCATCCAGGACGGACTGGAGATTACATTCACACCCAACGGATTAACCCAGCACATTTTGCATTTGTATCATGCATGGGCAGGTAGATATGGATGGTATGACAACCCTTGGAAACCATGCTGTAGTATTCAGCTATCTGCAAATTTCTCAGAGGGAGTTCTCCATATCGTGAAGGAACAAAAATTGTTGAAGCTGAGATCTGTTGAGATGCCTCTCTAAGAGACAAGTGCTGCTCTTGAGGTACCTGGGTTTGATACTGACACTGGTAGTCAAGCAGAAGGCTTGCTTGGTGTGAGGCAATTTCAACAAGTAAGGAGAATAAATTGGTCCCTTAGGTAATACAGAATCCAAGTAGTGCTCATTTCAGTGAAAGGAGCCAGGAAAAAGAACAAAGGATATTTGTTGAGACAGAAAAACAGATGCAATTATCTATTTTTTACATAATTGTCATGTCAGATTTATAATTTTATACATTCCCTTTTGACAAGAAGTTGCAATGACTAGCCACATTATTTTCTTACAGTGCTCAGAAGTAAACTGCCAGTTTCAGGACAGATCTTGTCATAACTGCCTGGAAAAGAAACACATTACCAACTACAGTACAAACGCATACTACCATAGGATTTAAAATTTTTATGTGCATAAGGTGCAATCCAATTTCTTTTCACAACATAATGGTATAATGGTCATAGATTTAAACCTTTTGGCAGTTATAAGACAGATTTTTTTTGTTCTGTATAGTCCACAAGATCTCTCTTACAGAGAAATAATAATAAAAAAAGGGTTTAAAGATCTCAAGAGAGGTTTGAGAACCTTTTGTTTTCTACAAAATTCAAAATTTTCAACAAATAAAATGTTTGTATATTGCCTGACCAAACTGGTAAAAAATAAATTGCTTTACTTGTTCTGTGATTTCCCCAGATATTCTGTGTCTCTAGTGAAGAGCTGAAGTGTTTGTTTTTCTGGGGAATGGCACCAGTTGTGACCCAGTTGATTGTATGCACTCTGTACCTTCTCAGGTGGCCTCGCTCTATTGATTTGGTGTTTGAGAAGTCCAAACGCTAATGCTCCTAATGATCAGCCATTCTTTTTGACTTTTAGTAACAAGTATTCTCATGCAGTTAATATCAAACAGAACTTTGTGCTCTACATCTGTTATTTCAAAATTCCCATTTTTGAACTCCCCTAGTCTTAAGTAAGTCGTACATTGTCTTCCTTTTTTACTGCCTACAATCTTTTCACCTACTTCCAGGGCCCCGTGATGTAAAATGTCATTTTGCCGATCTTCAGTTCCAGTGACAACTTTAATTTTACTGATTTTAATGGGCTTTTCAAATACAATCCCATAGAAGTCTCCAGTCGAAGGAGCCTTGCCCCAGAAGTACTCATCAATGCTGCTGTAAGCCTTGCTTGCCTCATAGTTTTCAAATACATTCATATTGGTGTGCAAGTTTGCAGGTGGGTTGTCAGGGATGTCAAAGGACTCCTCTTCAAAATCATCATCCTTTAACTTATTTTCAGCTCCTTTGTAAGATGAGTAGTATCCCATGTGCTGGAAGAGAGATGGCTTAAAACGTATCACTTCCTTTTGAGCTAACAGCCCACGAAAGTGGATGAGCAACCAATCGCAAGGCATTTCTTGGTAAAACATCAATAGAAAATGGGCCAGGCGTGGTAGGTCATGGGAATGGTAAAGCTTTCCAATGTACCCCAGCTTGGAGAATTCCAACGTCACCCAGTAGGATCCTTCTCGTGAGGTAATTACTTTCTTAACAGCAGTCAAAAAATTCTTTGAGCAGCGAACATCATCTTCCAGCATCACATAATAGTCAGAAAGATTAGCACAAAAGTTTAGAAGGAAAGCATAATCTACATTTTGTTTTGATCGGAATTTCACACGGTCCTCGGGGTCATTGTAATTTCTCTTAAGGCCATCCAGTACAGGATAGTAATCCTCAGGGACGTGAATAACTATTAATCTGCCCGCAATTATGTGATGTGCAAATTTCTGTGAAATATCCTGGACCATCCCTTCACACCAGGCTGAGTCAAAATCTGCCAGCTGTACTACCACTGCAATTTCTTTGAGTTCCTCATAGCTTGACTGCTCAAATATGGACTTGATGGTCTCAAGCAAGTAGTTTCCCTTTCTCCGTTTTACAGAGGATAGTCCAATTGTAAGATACCCTGTACAAAAGACAGTTCAAACAAAAACTGAGAATCTGATATTGGAAGCAATTTTATCACAAAGATATTCTCCAGAGCTGTGCTTATATTAAATAAACCTTGTGAATGGTGAAGACTGAGAAATTTGGTATGTGAGTTTATTGAGCTGCATGCGACAAAGGACCTTTATTGCCTTTTCATTAGGAGGTGTGATATTGTGAGCAAATGGACATATGGAGACTATTGTGTTAAACATTCACTTGTTTACTGCCAGGAGTAGCACACTGGGGACAAATGCCAAAGCAGTGTGTATGTTTATGCCTTGTAGACAAAACCACACATACAGTGATAAGGCTGTAAATCTGCCAAAAGAAAGGGGATTGTGAGGGGATTATTCACACCATATATTTGGAAAGCAAGGAACTACCAAATGCAGCACTTCTATCATTTTAAGCCCTCTAAAAGTCTAGTTACATCTCTGCATAACTTTACAGTTTTATCAATTTTGCATGGACAGTGATTTCTCAGTGTGTTCATTTTTAGGTGAATATGTCTAGTTTTTCCTTGCTAGTAGTTTTTCTTCTAACCCTCTTTCAGGACTCATCAAGCACTCATCAAGTTTCAAAAGGAAACACTCTTCCATTTAGATATTATTTTAAAGTAGAAGAGAATTTCTCTCCTTGCTTGTGCAAATATTTTTTAATGCTGTTACATTCTTTCTAGACAGAGATATATCTTATAAAACATGAAATTTAATTTCTGCTGTTTTGTAGTCACTGTCATTGTATTCCTAACAGCATTCCAAATTAGGATTTTTTTCAGATGTTTGCTAATATATCTCTATTTTTGTAGCTTCTGATGTAAAAAATGTTAAGACTGTGTAATTGACAATGTGTACCTAAGTTGAACCTACCCCAACTTTCTTAAAATGTAGTCATTTGTAAAAGACTGCTCTGATAGTGATTCAGGGTTTCCCTTGAGGCTTAAGTCTGCTCAAAATGAAGTGGTACAGTGAAGCACAACCCCCAGAAGTAATTTACACTGCATACAGAGCCATTAGATTTTTCAAATTTATTTGAACAGACTTTATAGCTTTCTGCAACTCACGTATTATTTTATTTTACCTTCTGGGCTTGGACTTCAGGGTTTTGTTTATGTATGTGAAATGGTTGATTTGGAACCCAAAGGACACCTAGGTATGGCCATATTTCACTTTTAGAGGAAAGTCTTGAACCATGTGTGAAGAATAACTAAATAGTCCATCTGCAGATGGCTGTGAGAAGAACCCTCCTTTACTGTCCCGAAAAGAGCACAATTCTCCTTTTTAACACAGCTAAAGGAGCAAGGAGGTCCATTTGCAGCTACTGGGCTGGCAGGATAGTGGACCTGAGGGGTGCATCTGTGTTATGCCAAGCATACTTAAAATTGGATTTACCAGCTATACAGAGATTTGCAGTGTGCTCTCAGAGGGTGGTTGCAGAACACCACCAGCATGTGCCTTGCTTCTGCTTCCTAAATCATCTTCCTCTTGCCTGGAAGGATATCCATGGAATTATGCTCCCACAGACCACCCAAGGGCTGCCTGCAGGACATTTACAAGTCAGGCAGAAGGTAATCAGGCTGCTAGGTCTGGACTAGAGGCCATGCAAGAATGGCCACTAACTCTCTTGGGACTGTCACTGCTTAACTCAGCCCCTCTTTCATAGAAATACCACAGGGACTGTATGGATTTCACACCTTTTTAGATTGGCTCGTTTTGCAATATTCAAATTGCAGTTACTTACTTTTCCTTGGCAAAGGTGTGCCAGCTAGGTAGCGATAGGAAATGTTTATAGATCCTGAGAAATTAGACAAATCTTTAAAACTGTGAACATAACGCTCTGGGTTGAGCTGGTGCGTGGCTGTCTCTCTGATTAATTGCTTGTCCCCTTCCTATTAGCAGGAAAACAAAAATAACAAAAAAAGGGAGAGAGAGAGAGAAACACATTTGTGAATGTCAGTTAGAGAGGAAACATGGACAGGCAGGTTTCCAAGAATAACATTTTTCAGTTTCAGCTTTCAGGAAAGCATGTAGATGTCACCTCATTTAAAACAAAAACAAACAAGCAAACAAAACCCCCCCATACCAACAGGCATTACTGAATACCATACATTTTGACTACAGAAAATCTACCATAAACCTTCCGATTACAGTAAAAGAAAAAGAAAAAAAATACTTTGCATAAATCTCTGGAAAGGTAGCAAATATTAAATTATTGACCAAAAAATGCTGTGGTATTCAAAAGAGGGATAAGAAAATATCACTCAGCAACAGATAGGATAACTTTCACAGATGTAAAAACACAGAAGATTTTAAAAAAATGTTTCTAGTGATTAAAAAATATACCAAAACTGCTGCAAAGGAAAGAAATCTAGATCCTGGCATCTGGCTCATTTTGACATTTTTCCGAGAAGCTTTGACTCAGGTTTGCAGTAAGAAGAAATGTATGTGATCATGCAGACAGGACAATTTTCTCTGAATTTGGAAAACATTTTTGATGGCATAGTCAAAATGTACATTTATCACCACACCTCCTCTTCATTCCTCCTTCTTCAGTCCTCTTCCAAGAGGCTTCCCTAGTGATAGTAAAGGCACAGGAGAGAAAGAGTGGCTTCATCAATAGTGCCCTACCCATAATGTCACTTGGGCCTCAGGGAAAGTCTGCTCCTCAGTCCTTAAGAAAAGAGAAAATATCTAACAGCTCATGAAGATTGGATTTAAAAGTAGGAATGCTTATTTAATTTATGTGGTTTGATTTTAGTCTGATGACAGGAACATGAATGAATGAGTTTGTTTTTTCTGATGCATGCAATATGTTAATGCACTAAAACTTTGGGATCTGTCATTAAATGGGAGCATTGTGCAGTAATAGTACTGCTGCTAACTGAAACAACCACAGGAACAGTAAACAGTGCTCATATTTAATGGCATAAATATTAAAAAATGTGTCAAAGCTATATTTTATAGCACAAATAAATGTTTCTGTAAACTGATCTTACATTCATTTATAGTTCATTGTTGTTCTTGCACAGAAGTAGTAAAAAAATCCACTTCGGAGCTTAGTAAAGATCTTTGGCAGACATCCAGGGCCATCTACCTGCACTGTTATGCTCTCTTGATCTTCAGTGTCTCTTAAGTAATTTCTCTCAAGTGCTTATGTACCACTTTGCATTTGCTCATAAATTATGAGAGGAAGTGTGATGATCAAGTTCAAGATTAAAATGTAACTTAATGATCTTGAAAGAAAATACACGAAAACTTGAGGAGATTTTCCATTAAAAATGTCAGGTGGAAAAGAAAAAAGGCTGGTCCAAAAACTTTCTTTTTTCAAAACCTTTCTTTAATATCTGAGAAGCAAACAAAACATTGTGTCATGGGTTCCAGAATGGAGCACCAAAATTTCTTGTTTCATAAGGTCTTGGAATGGAAACTTATTCTGCTGGCTGAGGTTTTGCTACATAAAATTTTTAGAAATAGACAATGTCAGAAGAAAATGTTTTGATTTTAACAAGCAAAATATCTAAACTGACCACAAAAAATTTCCTTTTTTGCCCCCTCTTTAATAAATGGCTTTTGTGGCTAACATTTCTTTTTAATAGCTGCTCTTTCATTCTTTTGTTGAATGATGGGCAAAACAGAAATCTGGATTTTTTTCAAAAGATTAAAATCTGTTTCTTCTATCTCTGACTATGCAGAGGTCAGTGAAGCTGAGGAGCTTGATTAACTCTTCTTGGTTTTCTTCTCTAGCTTTTTCTAGAATGGTTTTGGCTTTCTTCTGTTAACTAAACTCTAACTTGCATTCCAGTGTTTGCTGGGAGATTCATGTGGGTGCCATAGGATGAATGGCAGTTCTCCACCCTTTATGAGGATGCCCTGCTCTGCTAAGGATGCTGTGTCAATTACAACAGTGTAATTCTTTGAATAATGCCCAAAACAGTGATTAGTATTCATAGAAGAGCACAGAACACATGCTTCACTCACAATACACTTACAACTCTGAGTAGGTAGAAGACTCCCTTGTGAATTTTGTGATACCTGGTATATTTTAGCTTATTATGTCTTCAAAATTCTTGATCAAATGCAGTTCATACACTGCAGATGAAACACCTTAAACTGCTTTTCTAATGGACATGTATCAGCACTGCATAACTGCATGCCCTCCACCCAATATACTTCAGTTATTTTTCCACATGGGCCCTTACCTTTCATTTCTGCAGCAAATGCCCTGCAGAAAACAGTGAAGGGATTCTCTGGATATGTGAGACCCTTTGATGAAAACCAGAAAGTTTCTCTTCTCCCTTCTTAAGGTTTACCAAAATGAATGTCATTTCAATACTCTAACTCTTTGAAAAAGACGCTTGTGTGACATCTGGTGCCAGAGACACCAGCACCACAAGCCCTTGCACAGCCTGCTGCCCGAGACTGGCAGGGGGAACTCTGGCTCAGTTGTCTTCCCTCTAACAGCTACCCTCGTCCAGCAGGAGATTGGCTGCAATTTAGGGCTCTGAGGACTTTCAGATTTTTCATTCCCTGGAGGAAACTGGTTAGCCTGCTGTACTCAAAAGCTTTTCCCAAGTCTATTTCTCTTCACCACAAACAGTGAAATTGCTCATCTTTTACCTCAGCAGAGAAAACACACCAGACAGGGTGTGTTTGGAGCTGTCAGACAGGGTCAGGAAGTTTGAGAATAAAGCTAAATAAATAAGTTGAAAAGTCAACATCCTAACACACTTGAAAAACACTTGATGGACCATAAAGGTATCAAGAGACCTGGAAAAACTCTCAGGAGACTTGGCAAGAGACTTGGCTGAGAGCTGCATGAATGCAAACATGCCAGAACTGTGATGAGAGAAGCAATGAAAGAGAGTGAATTTATAAAAGGTGGCGGGGAGGGGGAAAGAGAAATTAAGAAAAAGACATGGAGCCATCTGGGGAGCTAGCAAATAGGCAGGAAGATTTCAAAAACAAGCCAAGAGGAACACCATTAGCAGTGATAATAAAAACACTTTCAGAAACATCTGGGGGACTTTGAAGCAATTAGTGAACAGAGAAGAAACATTAGGGAAAATGCCACAAGGAAGAAAAAGTGATAAGTCAGGTCAAATTTAATCATAACCAAGAAAAGTTAAATAAATAAAAAAGTGAAAAACCTTTGTGGTAAACAAAGAAATATGTCTGTAATGGAGTAACATGCTGCAAGAATGGGCTATCTTTTAAATGGCCTAAAGAGTACTAGCATAATATTAATATTGTAAATATTTACAGTACTGTGATAACTAATTTTATAATTATATTATTTTAAATTAAAATAATGATGACTGTATATATGGTTTTGATAAATAACATATAGGATTTTACTGCTTGTGTATTACAAGTTTTGATATTCTGTTTCTTTTCAGATGCACACGAGATCAGATTTCACCCTTCAAAATATTGGAAAATTCATACTGTCCCCATTCAATTCAAGATAAAGACAGCACTATCTAGTCATATCACAATATAACAAATTCTGTTTAGCCATTTTACTGCTTGCAAGATTCAGTTTTCAACCACTATGATTTTTTACTGGGCCCAGTCCAATCTCCAAAGAACTGGAAATTCAATCCATTAATTGAGTCTCCAGGGCTCACTTGAATTCAGCACTGAAACACCCCTAGGTTACACATGAACCGTAGAGTTGTGCTATGTTGCCAGTAGCTTATTTGTTGAAATTCCTACATAAATATTTCCACAATTTTTTCCAAAATCATAAGCTTACATTAGGTTTCATTTGTCTAATTTTTAATGTTGTAGTACTGAACCCATCAGACTAAAATCTGAGTTACTAAAGGTAGGAAACACACAAAATAAACTCACTAAAATGAAATTATTTATGCAAGGAGCCTAAAGTAGATAAAATGGGTGTAAATTTTCTTTTGTAATTTTATTTCTATAATAGCATTTAATGCAGTGTTCAGAGGTGAGATTTGCAGTGTATACAAAACATGTTGAAAATCAGCTCACATAAATAGCTCAGATGTAGTTTATCCTCAACAATTTACCATTTTACTAGGAGGTGTTTTACTGTTTTGTTGTTTCAGGATCACTTCTTTGCAACTTACCAAAACATAACTATCCTCAATGTACAAGTTCATGAAGAGCAAGCAAACAACAAGGATTCCTAAGAACGACACTGCTGATCGTTTCCGCAAGCATCTCATTTTATCAAAATATTTCAAGTTGTGTCTCGTGAAGAACTGCATACGGTACTGTCACCTATGAATAAAACCACAGTATTACAAGAATGGTCCACCTGATAAGCATGACAACAACTAAACTTACCTTCAGATGTACCAAATCCCTTCAAACATACATAGACTGCACTTTCATGCGGAATTAACTTCATTTAATCATTGTCATGTTAAGGTTTAATATACAATCTTAACCATAAACTAAGCTTCCTTTTTTTTTTTGTGTCAGTAAAGAAAAAACATGTACCCACTGTCATACCCATTTTAAAGTGGGCTTATGGTGGATGTCACTGTGGCAGGAGTGCATCAACAGTTTAGTTTGCTATGCTTAACTGTCAGATCCCAGCTTGGTGGCTGGAGATGATACTGTGCATTGTTCCCCCATGTACCTGTGTCTCCTCCCAAGGACAGGCCAGGTCAACAGGCAAGGAGGAAATTATTGCCTGACTCAGTGTTGTTACCTATAGAAGAATTCTGTATGCTAAATACAAGTAAGGCACAAATAAGATACCTTCCCTGAAGAGAAAAAGTACTCGCAAGACTGTATAATATCAATTAGAGTTTTCTGTCAAAGTACAGAAACCCAAGGTTAAGTGGAAGTACTATTTCCATCTTCAGAAGAATGGTGGGTCTCCAGCCCAACCAGACACATCCAAGCAGAGTACTGGGAAATCCTTACCAACCTGATTAGATAAATCAAATAAGGGTGGCCCAGAGATCATGAAGCCCCTCAATGTTTCTGGTCAAGATCAAGAAGAAGGACTGTCTGTCATATTCTAATGTTGCATATTCATTTTAGTAATTTTACTCTGGAGAACAAGATGAACTCTGTTCTTGTCCACCAAATTGTAACACTAACCTGTGTAGGACTGTATGTGTTTGAACAAGATTTGGTCCTAAATTAAAGATCTCGCTGTCCAAAGTCTGAGGGATTATGAACAAAACAGCAGACTATAGACTTATTATTTATGTATTATGTTCTTACTCATATTGTAATTATTTTCCAATAGCAATTCATCATTTTTCAATTGAATTTAATGTATAGAAGTTATATACAAACAAAGACTTTAAAGCTAGTCCATGCGAATTAGTAAAAAATATGATACGTGCAATGGTTAAACCCTGCACTGAAATATCTTGATTTTTAAAAATGTTGAACATCTACAATGATACAAAATAGGACATATTAGGAGTTCCATAAATGATTTGTCATGTCATATAGAAAATTTTCTGTCCTAATAATAAAAAAATCTACCAAGCACAAAATCCAATGTATATTTGTTTTGCCAAACTGAATAACCATATTTAACAGTATAAAATTTGAGTCCATTATACTCCAGAGAAGCAGGAGGTAAATATATCAAATATTTGTAATGCAATTAGTAATTGCAAGAAATCTATACATTTGAAATGAACTGCAGTAAATGGAGGCTGGTTGTACACAGAATGCTTTTATATTCACTATGCTGAGAGTAAAACCAATTTACAGGCTGCATGAAGAAAAAAAACGAATCAGTAACAATATACATTTTTGTCTGTCTTTATTTAGGGTGGGCTGAATTAAAAAACCCCGATTATTCTGAAGCTGAAAACCCCAGTGTAGATATTTTTTAAAGTTACATAAAGATTTCATTTTTCTTAATATCTAAGGACATTGAAAATAAACCTCAGGAAGGAGGTGCTAAGGACATGAATCGCTGAACACCAAGCCTCCCTGTACCCCTACAACTCCCTGTGACAACACAGTTGTTGCTAGCTGTCTGTGGATCCAGCAGGCTGTTGTGGAAATGAAAGGTTGCCCCTGTTTTAGAAAATACTGTATTACACATACGATTTGGGTTTCACTTTTATTTCATTCTTTTTTTGTTGTTGTTCCCTTCTCCCCTGCCCCCTCTCTTCTTCTCACAGTACAATGGCTGATTTTCAAACCACTCTTTTAAAAACCAGTCAGAGGATCACTGGATGGTTTAAATACTGACACTTCTCATATTAGTGGCATTAACTATTCTGACTATTGAAAATGCAGTTAGTCTGGGTTAGAGTCCTTGCAGTTGCTGTCAACATATTACATTTCCCTTGGGTTAAAAAAACCAAACCAAAACAAACCAAAAAACCAACAAAACGTGGAAATAAATAAATAAATGTGGTTTTTTTCAGTCACAGGATGAATATATGTGACATATTTGCTGTCTGGACTGTGGTGTTACACAGGTCCCCCATCTTTGCCCTGAGCCACCTGTCTGAAGTCCCTGAAGGATGAGGAAGGGGCTCAGAACCATATTTTCTGGTTATACTGTATGAGATCATTCCTACGTTGGGTTAGGAATGAATACAGAGAGAATTACATAGGTGAGGCTGGAGGAACTGTCATGACCAGAACTGATGTACAGAGAGAGGAGGGTACAGCGCCGTCAGCGCTCTAAGACCCCCATTGCTAGCGCTGGTGGCACACGACGCCTTTACATCTCTGCTTGCACATGGAAACATCTGGAAGCACAACACCGTGCCAGGGGAGGGTCTTTGTTCATCCGATCCGATCTCTTGGCAGGTCCGTGACAGGTAAAGGCAGGGAGTGGCAGGACGCCCCAGGGAGGAGGCGGTGGCACCGCTGGTGACAACAGCAGGTGGCAGCGCAGGCTCGCCCGTGCCAGCCCAGGGGCTGCTCGCCGCTGTGCCCAGCCCGAGCTGGGCTGGAGGCGCCGCTTGACATCCTTACACAGTAAGCCCTCGGCTAAGAACGCGCCCAGCATCGTCCATATGTCCTTACATCTTCCTCTGACATCTCTGTACCCAGTCTGTGCATTGCATTTTTTCTTTTTTCTTTTTTTTTTTTTCAAGTTATGCCATTCACCTTTTCAAAAATAGTCTCAGAATTTCCTGCACTGAGACCTCTGATTTTCTTTAAGACCATTTGAGCAGAACATTGACCATTACTAAAAATCTTTGATATTGAAAAAAAGGTTCCAATTCATAATTCAGTTCTGAAGGCGCAGCTTTGCTTGAAGATTTTATGCCTTCATTATTCATGCATAATTAAGTAGCTATCAGAATGGTATAAATGCAATTTGCTTCATAAAGCTGGCATGAAGCAGTTAAACAAAATAATTAATAAACATGGATAAATTATAAATCTTTTCCTTTCTAGATAAGATGTGTGCATTTTCTCAGTCTCTGGAGAGGGAACTTGTAAAATCACAGATCTCTATGCACATGTATGAGCTGCTATCAGACACACGTGCAGTTTTTCATGGTAATGTAAAATTATAATTCCTTTGACTTTTTAAAACAACACACAGTGAAAAGGTGGTGAGCCAAAAAATGCAATTACATACTTTTACAGCTAGTAGATGCTGTTCTTTATAGGATCTACAAAGGTGTGAAATCTGTGTAAAATGTCAAGAATTGTTTTTCACATGACACTGCAAGGTTTTCTCTTGCAGAATTTGCGACAATCAGAAGAATTTTAACTTTTTTTTAAAAAGAAGTAATCCCAAATGACCATCGAGAAAGACTGTTTTTAATAAGGCAAGTCCTTGAAACCAAAAATGGAAATGAAAATATTTAAATTTATGTCTATTAAAATTTTAAAATAAATTTTAGTTTGGATTTCAATATGGCTATTCCCAAGAGAAAAAAAATACATAAAGCAAGGAGTTATTTTCCTTTATTTTCCTTTTTTCAGAGAAAAAGACTTTTTGCCATTCATAAAATAATTTCTCTAATTCATGTACACTCACTCTGGTAAGCAATTTTATATTTGATTCATTCTAATTCTTCATCACTTTCTGACAATACTAAGGATTTGTGCTTTGTCCTGTTTTTAGAGATTACCACTTAATTTCTTTACATATTTCCTCCATGAACAGATACACAAAAAGGCTCTGTGGTGTTACTTTACCCTTAAGGTTACCTGCAGAAGTTAAGGACTTAGCCTTACCCCTAACCAGTACAGTTAATTTGTTTGTATCTACAGCTGTACAGGTATGGAGCAAAAAGGTCATCTTCATATTATATTCTGGTCTGCCTCAATGCTGTGCCCCAGCAGCTAAAAAAATAGTTGCTTATTTAGAGAGGCACTGGTGGCTGTGAGAAATGGCAACTGAATGATTTTAATATTTTAATATTTTAAAATGAGACATGTAGATTTACCTGTCCCTGTAGAGTCCATATTCCAGGAGGTGGAGCTGATCCACTGCCACATTTATTATATGAGATAATACAAAAATATCTTTCGATTATTAAAACCCTTGTGAATCTTATTGTAATCTCTGATTTGACAGAGACACTCAGAAGCAGGCACTTTATTCCTCAGTTTTGTGATATACCATTCTATCACTTACTGAATTTCTTTACTTGCAGTTCTCAATGTGTTTTTCATTTTTTCTTTTTGGAAGGCTGCACACAATACCTCAGGAATTACATTCAGTTATCTTTATAAAGTCACAAAGGAAGCACTTCTAAAAAAAAATAAAGGGAAAAGCCCCAAAACAAATCAGATTTTTACATGGTTATTATTAAATTTTGCATGTACCATGATTTTCTTATGCAAGAATAACAAAAATGAACCCTAAATTGTGATGTAGAATTGAGCTACAGAGGGTAGTGTACTAGAGCATTGTAATGCATGGGTTATTCCATAGGGCTCAGATAGACTCCCAGGCAGATTCACTGCCTTACTGAAAGCCTGAATGTACACATAAAATGTTTAAGGCTGACAGGCAGGATGTTCACTGCCACTGGCAGCAGGGGAATAAAAACTAGTTTGAAGGAAAGGAAAGTTTAACTCAGAATGAGGCTAACAAAACCAGAGGAGTTCAGGTTTTAAACTAATCTTAAGTAGATTGTGTGGCTACACAAGATTAAATAAATGGTTTAAAGATGATTATATCGTCTGAAATCTGAGTTCTAGATACAGGAGGTTAAAAACTGGAGGTATATTAGTAGGCAGATTACTCAAAAGTGGCACTGAAGAAAGGATGGGCTAAAGAAGTAGGTTTTAGAAGAGAATTTGAAAGGCATAATTAT